TATTTTTAGTGACAAAATTTGTAACCATTGCTAAAAGGTCACTATTTCTGATACCTATCAACAATGAAATAGGAAAGGCTTTGGTGACTTGAGGTTCATATTAGGGAAAGGAGAATGAGGGGAGGGGAAGAGAGGGCGACCCTTGGCTTGATCCTCCATTTTTCTCCAACAAATAGGCATTGAAGTCAACTTCAACTCCTTTGTGTTCCCATTAGACGACAACCCTTTTAAGGGGAGCCAAACGCAATAATTTCTTTTTTTCACATTCAAAGCTAGTTTTCGCTTTTTGAGTTGAGTATTCAATGCCCGTCATTGAGTTCTTGGCAATAGTAATGCTAGATATTTCCTAATTGGACAGCTAAACAAAAGTTTAAAGGATGATTCTAACATTCTAGAAACCCTTTGACTGTTACATAATGGAGCTAGATGAGATTAGCCATGATGATTGGCAACAACTTCTCATCATGTACTTGTCCGATCCTTCTAAAGAAATTCCCATGTCAATAAAATAACAAACTTTAAATTCAAGCTCATGACTTACCAACAAGCCAATAATTGGTGGTTGTTGGTCACGACTACTAACAAAAAACTCCAATGAAGATGAATATTTCACATGGATAAGAAGTGTGCATTTTGTATGTTAGGTGTTCTTTTGTTGTGCAATTGTTAGGTTTTTTGTAATTGGCCATCCAGTTGGACAAAACTCCATTCAATTGTAATTTCATTTGATCTTTTGTTTTTTGTGAGAATAAAAGTGTCAAAATGTGCATCCAGCATAATTTATGATTTGCGCTTGAGAAGAAGTTTGTGCTAAAGGAAAGGTGTGTGCACTTGAGCAGAGAACGGTGTGCTCAAGTAGAGGAGCATTTTTGCTGTTATGCACTTGAGCATAGAAAGTTGCACTCGAGCGAAGACATGTGTGCTCGAGTGTAAAAAGTTGTTCTCGAGCGATCTAGACATGCTTGCAGCATCTTAGAGCCTCAGAGAAAAATACTTGATCATCAAAACGTTCGCTTGAGCGACCAATTGACCACTCGAGTGGTCTAAGTCAGTTTCAGTCACTTAAATGTGCATATTCAGATTAGATTTGACTAAAACTCTCATATATTCATTCTAGGAGTGTGAAAATCAGAGGGAGAGGTCTCTAGAGTGCTTTATGTGTATACCTTGATGAATTGAGAGTAATCTGTGGATTTCATCCAAATACATTTTCTAAAGAGATATTCTTCAGTGGATTATAGAGAACTTGAGCATAGAAGCTTTGGTGGATTCTGAAATGGCTTTTCATCGTGGATTCAACTTTGGTGTTGTGGATTCAACATTGGACGAAGCAATTTCAAGGTGAAAACGGTGTGGTAAGAGGCATAACGAATTGGGTTCAATTTGGGCGTAGATTCACTAAGTAATTGAAGGTTCTCTTGTGTAATTTCATTGTCTTCTAAGTGGATTGTTTTGCGGTTTTAGCTTGTGATTTTTTTTATCACAATTGGAGGTGCTTCAATTGTGATTTTTTCACGTTATATCATTGTGTTCATTTGTTATTGCTTGTTTGTAAATCTAATTCAATTATCTTTTAATTGGATTAGTTCTTTGTTTGTTTAATTGGGAATTTTTGTTTATTGTTAAAATTGAATCCTAATTACAAATCACAATCTCAGAGGATTTTAGATTTTTTAATTGGCATCAGAGTGGGTCGCTCAATCTTTGTTTCTCAAAGCTATAGATGCGAGATCTTGTTCGATTTGTGTCATGGATTCAATTCTAAAGGGTAATTCTACGTTTTGACTAGGAGTGTTCACAAATCGGTCCGAGTCGAGTTTATAAATCATCCGCCAGCCGAACCGAATTATATATCAGATTGAAACATTAATGAACCGTAATTGACCGACAGAGTGTTCAAAATCGACCAACCCAAATCCTTTGGTTTGGCGGTCGGCTCGGACAAGTGATTCACAAACCAGACCACTCTTTCAGTTTCTTTTAGATTTCAAACAAATCTTAAAAACAGAAATGTGTAACTCATACATATTCAGTAATTCAATTCAAACACAATCATTATGCAAACCAGATCTGAGAATGGATACAAAATTGAAAATAGAGAGCCAATTCATGCCACCATTGTCGTTATCTCGCCACTGCACACCACCATGCACAAGTCATCATAAATAAAAACAGATAACAGTTGAAACAAAGGCTTGGCGATAGTTTAGCACACTTCACATGTCGGTAGATCTGATTCTGGGAGATTATAGATTTGATTTAAAAAAAGTGAGAGGAGGGACAAAAGAATTAGAGAGAAAATGAGATGATAGGTTTGAGGGAGTGAAGAGAGTCGAGTGGATCAAATGGTGTATTCAAACCAGAGGCTTGAGAGAATATAAAAAGAAATGAGATAGTGAGAGATAGGGAGGTAAAGTAATGGAGGTAGAAGAGACAATGGATAAAAGACAGAGAAAGGGAGGGATACAAACAGACTAATCTTGGGGAAGAGAAAGTGTGTATTTGCAGGGTGAGAGATAGAGAGGGGGGAGAATTGAAGGAGATGAAGCGGTAGATGGGTAGGTAAATGGGTAGAGAGAGAGAGAAAGAGAGAGAGAGAGAGACACACACACACACACACATACACACACATATAAACACTGTCTTGGGCAAGGGAAATGTTGTGTATTGAAATATGAGTTCAGATGTAATCAATAGAAGAGATAAAGTTGTCCCGAAAGAAATAAAATTGTCTTGCAAAAACAAGATTAATTATAGCACAAGTCATTCAAAAGACAGGTTATATATATTATATATAGTACGGTCTGGTTGGGTTAGGCGGGTTATCTTACATCAAACCCAATATCCACCCAAAATCTATAGAAATTTCACAATGCACAACTGCAGTCGACCAACACTATGGCAAAACCATCTGCAACAGCCTCGGGTCGGATGGTTCGGATTGGGTATGTCAAGTGGTTCGAATGAATGAACACCCCTAGTTTCGACCATGTTTACTTGACGGAACTAATTATCCCTTTTGGAAAGCTCGGATCAGACTTTTTTTAATAGCCATCAATGAAAAAGTTTGGTAATCTGTCATGTATGAGTGGACTGAACCTACTATTACTATTGATGGAATAACCTTTCACAAACTGATTAACAAATAGAACACAACCAATTACCAAAATAGTAACTAGAATAGTAAAGCTATCAATGCCTTATTGTGCACCTTCACACTTAAAGAGTTTAGTCGTATTTGTACGTGTGAAGTCGCAAAAGAAGCTTAGAGACCATTCATGAAGGCACTCATTCGGTTAGACGTTCAAAACTTCAAAACCTCACTTCTAGTTTTGAAACCCTTTCCATGAAAGATAGTGAGACTTTTGATGATTTTTATGCCAAGTTGAGTGGCATTGTGAATTTCAGATTCAATTTAGGTGATAAAATTCTGGAATCCAAGGTTGTTAGAAAAATTTTGAGATCATTGTCCGATTGGTTTCAACCAAAAGTTACAGGTATTGAGGGGACTCAAGATATTGACAACCTCAAGATGGATTATTTGATTGAGAATCTCCAAACCTATGAGGCCATTTGAATTTCAAAAAGAAACAAAATAATGTTGTTGTTTTTAGTAGTTCTCATGGAAATGGAAAGGAGTTCAGTGAGGATTTTGAGATTGATTCTGAGATGATGGACACTTTTATAAAATGTTTCAAAAAGTCTTTTAGAAAAAAAGGCCTAATCTTATAGAATCAACTCACAAATTCAAAGGTGAAGATAAGTTCAACATTGATTCTACAACCGAGAAGGAGAATGAAAAACTATAAGGCAATTCTCAAAGAATCCAATGCTATGAATGCCAAGGTTTTGGCCACTTTGCTAAAGAATTACCAAACCAAATAAGAAAGAAGAAAGTATTTTCAGTCACATGAGATGATGAAATGGATTCATAAAAGGATGAAAGTGACAACGAGGTTCACTACAAAGAAAGGAATGGAAAATGTGTGGCTTTCATGGTGGTTTCTATAGCCAAGGGACAAATTGATTATGCTCATGGCCATAATGTCTCTAGCCTTCCCTTCTTCGACAGAAATGAATACTTGTATTGGAGTGCTCGAATGAGGGTGTACTTCTTGGCACTATATATGAACTTTTGGATGATCATAGAGGAAAGGTTTGAGTTGCCCTATGAACTTGACTTGGAAACAAATTTGAGAAACTTGAAGCCTCAAGAGTAATGGAATGAACTTGAGTTGAAACACATGGGACACAATTCAAGAGCCTTAGATGAAATATGAGGTGTTACCTCAAAAAGTGAGAAAAATCATATTTCTCATTGTAAGACGGCCAAGAAAGCTTGGGATATGTTGAAGTCTATTTACGAGAATGCACAATTTTTAAATGAGTCTCAAAGCACCTCCATCCCTCATGCATTAAGTGTTGATTCTTCGGATGGAAATTCATTTTCTCACAAATGTGATAAGGAAAGCTCCATATCTGGCTCTACAAATGATAGAAGAGAGTTATCTAGCACGGAACAAGAAATAGATGGTAAAACTCTTAATCAAGCATATGAGAAGTTGTATAAGCGGAGTTATACCTTGACAAACATGAATATCAAGTTGTCTGAAAAGCTCAAGTTGAGTAGAGAGGGGAAAGATAAAGTAATGCAAGAGCTCATGAAAGGTCAAGTTGAAATAAGTGATCTCTCAAATGAAATGGATTCATGGAAGGTCAAGTTGAAGTAAGTGATCTCTCAAATGAAATGGAATTTTTGATCGTCAAGTTTGCCACATGCGAAATAGAGATAAACCAATTGCTTCATACACATGATGAGTTGGAAAAAAAGAATGGTGCTCTTCAAAGAGGGTTGGAGGCTTGTGCTAAGTTCGGAAAGAGTTTGATGAAAAGACTAGTTCATTGGAGTTGGAGCTCAAAAATGTCAAAGCTACCTTGAAATCTTGGAATACTAGTTCACGAAGTTTAGATGCGGATTTTTAGTGCTCAACATATGACCAATGATAAAGAAGGAGTTGGCTTTAACAAAGGACATGGCTCAACATTCGAAGCTTCAACTTCTAAGGACGAGAACACACAAGGTTTCATTGCCAGAGGTAATATCAATTCATCTCCTTCTTTGTCTCTTGAATTAGTATCCAAGAGTAAATTCATTCTTATTTGTCATCATTGTGGTGTTGAGAGTCACATTAGACCTCATTGTTTTGAATTGTAAAAGACCAAACATCATTCATATTTGCCATCATTGTGATATTGAGAGCCACATTAGACCTCATTGTTTTGAATTGCAAGAGACCAAACATGAAACGAGGTTAACCTTGACTAGACCTTAGAATAGGAGGCTTAAAACCAAGTCAAGACGGATTCACATTGAAGGGAAAGGGAACCACAACATCAAAATGCCACCCAAGAATCGCAATTCACATGAAAGCATTTTGGGAGAAAAAATTTGACTTGGATTAACTTTTTTTTTTTTTTTTTTTTGGTCTTTTTGTGCTTAGGTGCTTTTTATTTTCTTGCTTTGTCTCTTAAAAATCTATAAAGATTTTTTAGTATGGTTTTGCAAACTTGAAATTTTTGGAGAAGTCTTTGATTCGTGTTGGATTTGATAAAAATATCCATTACTTGAAAATGTGTGTGTGCTATTGGTGGACATTACTCTTTACTGAATGTGTGTACATTGATTAATATATCTCATTCCGTACACGCTTTTGGATTCGCAAATACCGGACTCTTCTGCATAAGTGATCATAGTTTTCTATGAACTTCTAGTAGTCTATCTTGTGCCTCCCTTGAGAATACTAGCATATCTTGGGTGATATTAGTCTCTTAACCCCTAACCATCTTTGTGCATCTCTACTATTTACCCTTCAACACTTGTCTTTTAAAGGCATGAGGAAAAGTCTTCCTCAAAGTCACTAACCAGGCTTTATTTCTTTCCATTCTTTTTTGGTGCAGTTTCCATACTCTTGAATGTGAAAGCCCCCAGTGAGTGCGCAAGAAAAGGTTGTTCATAGCTTGAGGGTCGTGTTTACTCAACATACCTCTTTATCACTAATGGTTTGACTTTTCTTAGCATCTCGCAAATTCTCTTCCAAGAGGTCCAGCCATTCGATCACTACTAAGATTTGACTCTAGTATTTGTCGAACTCCAAGAGACACACACACACATACTTTTTCATGAGATCAATGTTTTTCACATGTTGCATCACTCTCTTACATGGGTTTTCTTCCAAAGATTGTGTACATTATATTTTCAAGTAATTATGTTTCTTGGATATTCTTGTGTGTATTCATGTTCTTACCTGAAATTCCTTTCTTACTCCACCATATTGTTTTTGTCATTTTTGTTTTATTCTTTGTTTTATGGTGCTAGTTGTTGTTTTTGGTGAGGAGGTTGTTTAGTTTAACCATTGATAGGGAGTTTGTTGAGCGTGGGCATCCTCGGATTGTTATTCAAAGGGTAATTGGTACGAGCTGTTTTGCATGTTGTTTTTTGTTGCTTTTTCCTCACATGAATGTTGAGTATTTCATCATCTATTCTCGTGCTTATGGTTTTTTCTGTTCATGCTTGATGATCTTTTAAGTTTTTGTGCTTAGTATTTGTGCTTTTGTTGGTTGAGCTCCCTTTGTCAATCCAGGACAAAAAGGGAAAGATTGAGGTGTTTGCATGATGTTCTTTTAGTATTGTCATATGCATCACGCTATCATATATTCTTATGAAACTAACATTTGTTTTGTAAAATGTGAACTTGTGGGGTTCATTTTGTGTGTGTGTGTGTGCAGTGGGTTGGGTTGATTAGAATTTGTCACCGAATTGCTAAAGGGGGAGATTGTTAGGTTTTTTATAAGTGGCAATCCCGCTGGATAAAACTCCATTCAATTGTAATTGCATTTGATCTTTTGTTTTTTGTGAGAATGAGAATGTTTAAATGTGAATCCAACCCAATTTACAATTTGTGCTTAAGCAGAGAAGTTTGAGCCGAAGGAAAAGTCTGTGCGCTAGAGCAGAGAAGGTTGCTGTTGTGAGCTCGAGCGAAGACATATGCGCTCAAGTGCAAAAAGTGGTGCTTGAGTGGTCCAAACATGCTTGTACCATCTCAGAGCCTTAGAGAAAAATACTGGTTCATCAAAAAGTTCGCTCAAGCGACCAATTGAGCGATCAAGCAGTCTAAGTCGGTTTTAGTCTCTTAAATGCGCGTTTTTAGATCAAATTTGATTGAGACTCTCAGATATTCATTCTAGGAGTGAAAAAAACTAAGAGAATGGTCTGCAGAGTGATCCATGTGTGTACCTTGATGGATTGAGAGTGATCTATGGATTAACAAGCTTTATATTAAAGATTATCAAGAGATTTTTTCATTCAAATACATTTTCTAGAGGGATGTTCTTCGGTGGATTCCAAAGAACTTGAGCTTGGAAGCTTTGGTGGATTCCGAAGTGGCTCTTCATCATGGATTAGACTTTGGCATTGTGGATTCAATGTTGGGCGAAGCAATTTCAAGGTCAAGACAGTGTTGAAGAGGTACAACGAGTTGGGTTCAATTTGGGTATGGATTTGCTAGGTAATTTAGGGTTCTCTTGTGTAATTCCATTGTCTTCTTAGTTGATTATTTTGCGACTTTAACCCATAATTTTTTTTTATCATAATTGGAGTCCAATTGTGATTTTTACATGTCATATCATTGTGTTCATTTTTTGTTGCTTGTTTGTAGATCTAATTCAGTTTTATTTTTTTTAAATTGGATTAGTTCTTTGTTTGTTTGATTGGGAATTGTTGTTCATTGTTGAAATTGAATCCTAATTACAAATCACAATCTTGGCGATTTTAGATTTTTCGAGTAACTTATGTGTGACCCGTGGCCAATGGATCCTATAAGTTCAGGGCGGGCTAGGCAACCCACTTCAGACAACGACTATAAATGGAAGCTCAGAAAATGATCCTTAATAAAGTATTGATTGAAAATGGAGTTGCAGTCAATAGTCCCCGTTCAAATAGTCAAAAACCTTGGAATAAAGAAATAGAGACTACAGTAATATTTTAATATATGGCTTCAACGATGGAAAAATAAAGGCTCTTCAATTTTGTCATGAAGATGAAAGGTCGTCATTTGAAGGAATATTTCCAAAAGTTACTTTTGGCAATGAAAGTATGTCGTAACGAAAAGGTCATCTGTGCAGGGTGTCTTTCTCTCTCTTTTGTGTGGCATTAAATGGTGAAAAATTTATGCTTTAACGACTTGTGATTTCATCATTCTTAGTTGACCATTGACGAAGACTATTTTCGTTTTCATTAACTTTCTGCCGCGAACATTTTTGCAACGAATTTTCTTGATTTTATGACTTTCTTCTTTGCTAAAGTGGTTTTTTTAACATTTCATTTTCCATGGTCAATGAAAAAAAATTTCCATACATTTTCTATGGAAATTTTTTTTCATAAATTGATTTCTTGAAATAACATTTTTCTATGTCTAGTGATGGTAGTAGTGGTGGGACAAAAGTGGAAGTGGCAGCATGGTGGTTGTGATGGTGGTGATGGCGACGATGATGATGGCAATGGCCGTGGAGATGGATGGTGGTGTAACGTTAGAGGTAAGAGTGGCGGTGGTAGTATAATGACATTAGTAAGGCTTTAGTCTGGAAAACATTTTTCATATTTTAAAAAGTGAAAAATATTTTATGCCCAAATAGACTTGTTTTTCATTGACTTTCATTTTTCATTAAATCAAACACCAAACAATATGAAAAAAAAATTCAAAAAACGTTTATGCCCAAACAAACAGAGCATAAGTTTTATGGAGCCAAGTTCAAGTTGATCTCAGAAAATGAACAAGCTTCAAAAACCATAAATCAAGCCAATCTCGAATAATCTTTTAGTCAGTTAGACATCAATCAAGCTCAAGTAGCTTGGTTTGTTTTACAACCCTAATTGATGCTAAGTCTCTAAAGGGAAAGAATTTGTTACTATTACAATTGAAATTGAAAAATATACTTTAAACCAAACAATTAGCAATAAACTAACTACATGCACATTGTAAAATTTACTTACTTACTAAAGAGAAGGTCCATTGTTATTAATTTACCATTTTAATAGTTTTCATACAACCAAACTCAATGACCTTTTGTGTCTAAGATCATTGTGTAACAGATAAAAAACAACTGATGGAGTTGATTAGGTTCTTATTAGGTTTTTAGATTTATGAACTTTTAGAAGGGGAAAAAAAGAAGAAGAGGAATTTGGGTAAATGTTCCATTTTACAAACTTTTAAGAGATTGGGTCCTAAACAAGATTTTTTTTAACCTGTTGTTCCATTAGTTTTGTATTCACAAAATATTCTTATTATGTTGCACTAGTGTTAAGAGTCTCTTGATGATAGACAACATTTGTTGTCCTCCATAACATGGCTTAGGATGAGGTATTCTCCTTTGCCAAAAAAAGTGCATCTCCTTATGACCTGATGATGGGAGCTTGAAAGTCGTCAAGTAGAAGTATCAACTTTCGAGTCAACAAAATCAAAACAAGACAGAAAGTCACATATTTGAATCTTGAAAAAAAACATGGTATATGCACATATACATATGGATGTATGTGTGTATGTATATACTTAAGTATATATGTATGCATGTACTCTAATTCAATGGAACGAGCCTTAAGCCAGAAGAGACAGTTGTGGTCATTGATAGTTGTGCCACCAATATGTTTCTCAATGTTGGAGACAATGTTGGCAATGATTGAATGCTTCCAAGAACATTATAGTGCGTTCATTTTATCATGGATTGCCACGATTGATGATGCGGAACCCATTGTGTTCAAACTCTACTTACTTTACTTTCAACTCAATGGATCGACTGTTAATCAACTAATTTTGATTAAACAAACAAGAAGAAGAAGAAGAAGAAGAAAAAGAAGATGATGATGATGATGAAGAAAGTCAATTCAAATAGTGAATAAAAGTGGCTATAACAATGAGTGCCATTCAATGAAAATTTATGAAATAGATAATCCTCCACGTTATCGTACATTTGTTTTGAAAGTTATTAAATTGGTTTTGTTAACTGTACAATGAATTATACATTGTATGCAAACTTCTCTTAGTACTTCTTTATGTCACATAATTGCTAATGGATTCATAAATGTCAAGGGTGACGGACTTGTGGAAACATGAATCAAGATTGAGAGCTTTGAAAATTGAAAAATTGCAAATTTCATAATTGATTTTCCCATTTTATAATTATTCATGTAACCGTCATATGATAATTAAAATAAATGAAATCACACACAAACATACAAACTGAGAAATTTCATAAAACTGTGAAGTTTCATAGTTTTGAAACCAAGAAATTACTCAATTTTGAGAAATTCTACAACTTGTTCAGTCCTTTTTTTTTTTTTTTTTCTAAACATAATTTTGTGACATGGTCTTTGGTGGAACGCAACTCAATTCTTAGCTCGAGAAGTAATGGTGCCCTCACACTTATACATATAAATCACCTTTATATCCGGGTGATGTGGAACTTTTATTCACACCCTCTCTCATATCTAGCATGTAGGGCTCAGGACACACACCCTACCCATCTCTCTAGTACAATGTGGCACGGTATTCAATGGAACTCAATGTCAAAAACTAGCTTGAGAAGTGAAGAGGTGCTCTCATGCTTATCCATCATACACCTCCTTTATACCGAAGTGATGTAGGGCTTGGCTTCACAAATTTCATATTAAATATGGATCTTTTTATAGATCTCAATTAATACGTTTTGAAATTGTCAATTTTATAAAAAGACATAATGAAAGTTATGTGATTTGAAGCTCTTAAAATTTTGCAAGGGGGCTTTTCAAGCTAGATGTGCATTATAAACCTTACTTTATTTCCTTTGACATTACTTCGTGAGCTCCTAGGAATTACTGTTGGAGCATGTATGAAAGTAGAGTCACACATCAAATAGAGTAAAAAAGAGTGGGTCTTAATATAAATTGGATGAGCTCTCCACTCACAAGTCAATTTCTAACTAAATTAGTTTTCTTTTCCCCTATTACATGGTCTTGGGTTGAACTCAACCCCGAAAACTAACTATTGAGAAGAGAATGTCATCGTGATTATGTACGGCACATTACTTTCATCACTAAATCGAAGTGTGACTTCGTTTCACATTTTGATGCTCGGTAAAACATCAAGAAGTTTCTCTACTACGGAAGTTTTCTAGTGTATTTACAATATTTCACATAATGATGTATGCTAATGTCATTTACAACTACATTTTTAGAAAGTGCATGTTAAAGTATTTCATAAGCAGTGATATTTTTTTTTTTAATTTTTAATTTTTTTATGAAATGCTTGTTAAATTGAATGATTTGTGTGTTTCTTAGGAAATATGAGTAATAATCTAATTAATTACACAAATAACTTTAGATATTTTCTTAGAAGTATATGTAATGATCTGTTTATTAAGGTAGAAAACTTTTTTTGGAAATATTTTCTCTATTTTTTGGTGTTTGATATGACAGAAGATGAAAGTTAAAAAAAAAAACATTTTTAGTTGTCAATGAAAAATGAGCTAATTTGGAAGGAAAATATTTTGTGCATTTAAAGGCTAAAAATGTTTTCCGAAACCAATGAGATAACTAAAACAATATCGCCATCACTCTATCACCACCATCACTCAGCCCACACTATCATTATTGCCACCTCTAATCCACCACCACACCACCATCATCACTACTATCTCACACTAGCACCACGGTTTTTGCCACCACTACCAAGTACCGCACAACCACCATTGTTGTCATTACTTGCTTTAACTATTCACTAGCGATTTGACCACTTACCTACAAACTTGGTTAAGTTCTTTCGAAGGAATAACGCATCTTTATTCCTGGTGTCTTTATTGATTAGTATGTCCAAGATGTTTGAATTTGTTTGATATTTGATGTCTTTCACAATGGAACAAATATGAAATTCCTAGTTTATTTATTGGATCATTGAATTTTTTTAACCTTGTGATTAATTTTTTATTTATTTATTAGATCTTGTGATTTGGTGTTATACAAAATTTTTAGTTTTGATTGTTGACAATTCCTAGTGTATCATTTTATGTACTATTTGCCTTTCCATTTACTATATCATATTGTTGATCTCATTATAGCTTAATTTTATTACTATGTAGAATACAATATTGGAAGTGATATGAATTAAATATATGTACAAACATATCATATAAATTACACCCACCTCTCCTGCAAATTATCCAAATTACACCTAACCCACTAGTTTGGGAAAATAACTTCGACCTCCCTTAACACTTGAGTTGTATTTCACTAAACCCCTCTCCACTAGGTATCTATTAGAAAATTAGACCGAATATATGATGTAAGCAATTTTTTCCTTAAATTCCTATTTTGCCCTTAATGTATTGGGGAAAAAATGAGACGATACTAAACTTTACCTCTCATTTTTCATATTTCCCTCAAAATCCTCCTTCCTTCCACACCAACTTCATCTCCCTTTTTCCCATGTTGTCGTCATTGCCACCTCCATTACCTTTCTTTCACACTATTACCACTACCTCTCCTTTTGCCCCTTGCCTTCCCATTACACCCCAACCTAATGCCATGATTGCAAGTACAACGATCCAATCGCGACGATCCAATGCCTCAACTCTTGGCGCCACCCATCCCTTCCATTCCTCCATTCTTCCCACCCTCCTTTTCTCAACCATGTCATTGCTCTTTTCCCAATGTCGTGGTTTTTGTTTTGTTTCTATGGCTTGATTTGTAGATAAGAGATGAGCGATGATGGAGTGGAGGTTTGTGACTCTTTTTTGTTGGGTTTGCTTTTTGATATATGATTATTATTATTATTTTGTGGTTTGATTTTTGATTTCCCTGTCATATATACACATAATGTGTGTTTATGTGGTTCAATTTTGAGTGGCGCTAATTTTGTGGTTTGGGATGACTGGTGTGATAGTGAAACATGAGAGGAGTAAGAGTGGACATTGGTAGTAAGGGTGATGGTGGTGGTGTATCTGAGAGATAAGAGCAAATGGGGGTTGGTGGCGGTACTATAATGGGAAAGAGAATGGTGGTGGTTGGAGGTGAGTCACAATGGTGGTAGTGGTGGTTGGGTGTTAGGAAAATGGTGTTGTAGAGAAGGTGGGGAAAGGTTCTCTTTTTTTTTTTTCAATATGAGGGTATTCTTGTCTTTCATTTACTCTGTTAACGGGGTTAACTTTTTAGGCCCATTAAGGGAGGTCTATATCATTTCCTCATACTAGTGGGACACTAGCTATAATTTACCAAGGGCGTCTATGTAATTTTCCCTATCTTTTTTGTTTTTGTATTCTCTTATTTGTATTGCGTTATCCGTTCTTCACACTATGCCCATCAGCACCTCTTATAAATTCACCCCATATGTGGAAACTACAAACATATTTGTGGCCATTTTTTTATTTATTTATTTTTTTGGTAGGTAGGCAGATTTCAATACACCCCTAAGGGGAACAAGAAAGATGGTTGATCAAGCCATCAAAACAAATCATTCAGTTCAAAGTGTAGCAATAAAAATACTCTCATAGCTCTGAGAGCTAGGCCAAAACAACAACAATAACATGTAAACGGCTATTATTTCGTTGACATCATACGAGAATACGATTATCAATTCCTTTATCTTCAAACTGATCCATTTACTATCTATTATTTGATTGTCTAATCCTTTAACAAGGAAATCAGTGCAAGTTTCCTGGAATACTCAAAAAATTTGAACCGTAGAATTGTTCATATAGGATAAGTGTAGCTTATATAATTGTTTATTTTTATTTATTTTTTATTCTTCAACTTTTTATGGAGTAAGAACAACAGTTTTACCTTGATGGTATGTGTGAAGGCTGCATATCCATAAGTTAAGGTAAGAAAAGTGAATTGTTAAAACTTTTACTGTATGATTTGTGTCAAAGTTTGTTCTAATGTACTATATTTTCATTCAAAGTTATGAGCATCATGTTCTGCTGTTGCTCTTGTAGCTTCTCTTGCATTCTAATACTGTATGCTATAAAATGAATTTCAGTGCTTCTTCTCAATGTGGTACAAAGAGGAGTTACATTGATGAATTCAACCCAACCAATGATCTGAGCCCTACACTTGACGTGGCACCTCTAAATGCTGTCCCATTTAGCGGTAGTCCTCCAAGATTACTAGTAACAACAGAAAGAGAAGCTGAAGTGGAGAACCCTCCAAAATCACCAACAATGAAAGCAGAACCTCAAGCGGAGCATCCTCCACAATCATTAACAATTGGAACAAAAGCTCAAGGAGAGCAAATTAAGCCCCCTATAATACTTCTTCCCTCGCAGCAAATTGGAAATGCTGCGAACGACAATACCGGGCCAATCATAGGGCTAGTTGATATTGGTGAATCTGAGGATTCATACCTCTTTCGTGTCTCTCTCCCCGGGGTCCTAACAAATCATGGTAAGTTTACATACAAGGCTAAACTATTTACAAGTTATAATAAATGTTTGCTTTTTCTTTAAGATATCCACTTTGTTCTTCCATGTTTTACTTTCCTATTTTGTTATTTTATAGGCAATATATAACTTAGGTATTGGATTTCTAACTATATTATGCATATCTAGTTTGGCATGTAAATAGTTGCTTTAATAGTTCAGTTTCATGTGATTCTCAAATGGCAAATCATTTTATGTGTTGCATTGTAGGTTATTTGATCTCATATGGGGGCTTCTACTTGCATTCATTAAATTTCTCATTACACCCTTCGTGTGACTGTAAAGAGGGCTTTGACCTATATACGCTTTTTTTTCTTTTTCAATTGCAAAATGAAAAACCTAGACCAAAATTCAATTTATTTCCCGAACTACATTAAAGCTCGTTGCTTAAATAGCATCATTACTAATCACGGTTTTTACTTAACGTAGGGCCCTAATTGAACATATTTGTTCTTAAAGTGTCTACATTCAAATAAAAAAGCGTGATTAGTATTAACGATTTCTTAATATATATATATATATATACACGCAAACACGCTTTAACATAGTTTTAGAAACAAGTTGAGTTTTAATCTAATAATTTCATTTTTGATTAATAAAAATTGCAAATAGAACAAAGCACCTATAAACAGCTATTAACGTGGCGTAATTAGAAGCTCTCTTGATCTCACTTTTGCTGTTGTGAATGCAGATGCTTTTAGTTGTTCTGTTAAATCTACTGGAGAAATAAAAATAGAGGGAGTTACCACCACCGGGGAGACAAAAGTGGAAAAGCACCACCACACTTTTGAAATGCTAACCAAAAATCTATGCCCACCAGGTCAATTTTCAGTCTCATTCCAGCTACCTGGTCCAGTCGATGAGTACCAATTTTCCGGGCTTTTTGGTATTGATGGGGTTTGTGAAGGGATTGTGAAAAAGAAAATCTGATATAGTTTGATCCCAAGCTCACAAGAAAATGTGTTGAACTATGGACTATATGCCGTGATCATTTATCGTTTTGACAAAGTTTGGAACAATGCAACTGATTTTATTTTCGTTGCGTGTGTTTTTCTTGGAGATTTGTTGTGCTATTGTAACTGCCATAAGTCTAGATTTGTTTGGTGGAAAATAAAATTGTTTTTTTCCAAAAGAAATGGTTTATAGCATGAATTTGGATGTGGTTGTTTATCATTTATTATTACCATCTAATAGTTCAAATTAAGTAACTGAAACAGGTACTATATAAATCAATCATGAGATAGAATGATTTTGAATGTGATTTTTGCAATTTTTCACTGACAATTTAGACGAACCAAGTTTTTCAAAATGTAAAAATATGAACTTTTTTTTGGATGATTTTGTAATTAGAAAATGTCACTTGACTTTCACTTTGTTGTTCACGTTAGTATTTTTTTTTTTAAATTAAATTAGAAGCCTAAATTTATTTATTGACTCGTTGAACATTCAATATTGGGTTGGATTTTTTTAGTTAGATTCAAATTTAGATTTTTGTGCAGTGGTCAAATCTCAACATTTGATTTGTGAAAAAACATTTATATGTCATGCCACTTAGTGTTCAAGACTGGATTCTCTAATTCAGGATCTAAACTAGAGAGAAGCTGATGTCGATATTTTTTTTTTTTTGGCAAAGAAAGAGTGATTTTACAAATAATTTTGACAATTTTCAACATGGAGGATTAAGGAAACCTAAAAACAACTATCAATTCATTACTGTATGAGAAGAGGAGCAAGTGAAACAACTTGGATTCCCTCTTTATGCTCAATGATATACAAATTTATAGTACACTATTAGCTCAACTCAAGTTTGACTTGTTAAAAAATTATTTGAAATCAATTCAATATGTAATAAAAGAAAACTTGTTAATTTTTAAAGTTATGTTCAACAAACATCTACACTACAAGGAGTAAGGTTTGAAGGGACCAAATAATTGTCACCAAAAATTAAAATTTTCATTTGAAAAGTCACAAGAATTGTTGGGAAAGGCCCATCTGGAAATGTCATGAACTGGTCTTCAATGATAAATTTTCCTAACAACAGATGGTGTTTAGGAATTTACGGATCTGCATAGACTTTTTACCTCTTATATATGACAAGAAAACGGTTGGAGGTTTCTCAAAAATCAAATCAATTCAGTACTCAAATGCTTAAAATCATCTATTTTTCTCACTAAAACCTTCTTGAATGACTCCAGAGGGAGAACCCTCTTTGCAGATGGAGCAGTTTTCATTGCTAGGCTGAGCTGGGAAAGCGGGAAAAAAATGAAACTCTTCCCAAGTTTGTTTGGCAAGATGGAGGAAAAAAAAATAATTAATTAATTTTTTTGTACAATTCATATCAATAGTAATTTGAATTCATAGGCAAAAGTAATTTAATTGTTACAACTTTCTTAGCAACCAAATGCATACTAGAAAATAAGTTTTCCTTTCAACCCTTTTTTTCTTTTTTCCTTTCACATTGCCTCATATTTTTCACTCGCGCTTCGTTTGTCAACTATACATTTTAGTCAAAAAGTCACTATAAATTATCACATCACTCTCTCTACTTTTCCGCACATAACCAAAAATTACTAAAATAACATATTCCCAAACGAGCCATAACCGGTTAGTTGTGAAAAAGGCTGTCTTGGAACCAACCTCCTGAGACTATTATCCAATCAAGAGACAATCCCACACAACATTTATGGATTGCAGGGAGAAGGTAAAACTAGCTGCAGCAAATGGTTTCCCCAAAAACATGCAGGAACACATAACTAGCTTTTTCAGGCTTGCTCAAAATTCAAATTATGATGTTCAAACAAAATCTAGTTCCTATCTGAAACATAGTACTTACCTTACAGAACAAATTAGGCCTCGTTTGACAAGTGACTTTTTTAGTCAAAAAGTCATTTAAAAAAAACCAAAAAATCAACAACCATACCAAAAAGTCAAAGATTTCTTCTCTCTACTTTTTACACATCTTTTCGTAAAAAACTAAAAAGTCATCCCAAACATATTAGTTTTTTTTTACATCACATTTTAGCAAAAAAGTCAAAAAGTTAATAAAAAAGCCTGTTCCCAAACGACCGTGCTTAAGCAGTTCAATTGCATACAGTAAATGGACCATCACAACCGAGAAATTTCTGTTTCTCCAATTTTCACATGTCCATGGAGAGCCTGTACTAAAGCAGGAACCCCAGGATGGGTATATGCAACAATGACAATCAAAACCCAGAAAACTTGAATGCCAATTACCAAAGAAGCCGTCTTACACTGTTTTTCAGCAGCAATTAAAAAATTCTGAGCATTCTACTTAAACAAATGTCCTGAAAATTTTATGCTGCTGCCTCATTTCACATGTATAGTTAGCATATAATTTGAGCTTGCACGAGAGGCATTGCAGCTAAACACAATTACAGAACCATCTTGCAGTACCCAAGTCCCAGTCATAAACCATGGTAATTTCGTTATGCTCCATTCCAAGGATCTAATAGCTTTGGTTAGCCAATATTTGATGAACAACACAGCTGCAATCAAAGAAGTCCAAGACACGATGGCCTTGTTTGGTTTGTGTTTCTCAAAAAATTTTGAAAAAAATTCTCTACAAATAAGTTCTCAAAAGTAATCAAACCAAACAATTTTTTCCAAAAATTTTTTCTAAAACTTGTTTGGTTTACAAATTTTCCAAACAAATCTCTCTCTCATACATATCAAATCAATCACTTTTTCCAAAACTCTCTCTCAAAATAATTTTTCAAAACATCTTTTGAAAAAACACCAAACCAAACAAATTTTCGTACTTTTTATTTCAAAACATGTTTCTCAAATACAAACCAAACAAGGCCGATATTTCCACTCACTTACATGTGAGTTTCCATATATGCACAAGAAAGCATGCTCGTACACCATCCAAAAGTTGCAGCAATTTCCATAATTCTGTTCAAATCCACTAGAGTCTAGAGCACACCCTTTCCAGTAAAATGGCCTGGTGAGTAACAACTTGATGGCATTTCTCTGCACATTATGAGAATGACATCTGTATTTGCCACTTTTTTTATTAGCATTTGATCCCTGAGACCCAAATTACAAACTAGGCTAGTCCAGTTATGCTCAAGAACTGACTATGCATAATTGACATTAACGAAAAAATAGCATATAAAAACTTCAACAAGCGTACTTAAGGGTTTACACCTCTTCTTGTTGATAGAATTAATTATCAGCCCAAGCAAAGGTTTGTGTTACATTCTGCAACAGAGCAATTATCAGGTTGCAGATCTTGTTCTCCTAATTCGATGCTTAGACACCCAAAATAAGCTTGGTAAGGAATAGCAATGAACAATGCAGAAACAGTTCAAATATCAAAACATAACACAAACATAAATGTGGATTCGAAAAACTGTATCCATGTTGATGTGACAAACAGGTGGTTAGTGTTTGGATAAAATCAGAAATATGAGAAGATGCATAAAATAGCAAGCAGTAATGCTAAATTGGAAGATATGAATGTCTGCATTATCATAATAATGTTTTGTCAGAAACTAATGAACAAAGTAAATACCAATTTTTATCAGCCTCTCACATTCAGAAATTCTGAAATCTAAATTTCCTCTGCTGAATCATATTAGGATCTGACTATCACATTAAAGAAAAAAAATGAACAATCTCATCTAAACAACAAAATATGTAAATCATCTATTGGCAATGGCACTTCCTCACATTGCTCTTCTTGTTTTTCTTCTTCTTACAGTCTCCATTGCTCTCAAACCCTTTGCCCATCTCTGTAAAATCTCTCTTCTCAACCCAAAGCCAACCAAAACAGCACAGAAACAAAACCCTAAAATCCAATCTTTAACCCCTCTTCTCCACCCATTAACTGAAAGCCCTAACAAAAATATGCCCAAAACTCCCAAAAACACATCACCTTCTAATTCCTTTCAACCCTTTTTTTCTTTTTCCCTAAAATCAACCACATTCCCAAACCACAAGCAATCACAAACCCAAAAAGCCCTAATTTTTTCTGTCTCTTTCTCCTCCACCCATCAAAGCCTCCCCATCCAAAAGCCTTCCAAAATCCATCTCCCCCTCCATTTCCACCTCCAAACTCCCTAATTGCCAATGCCAATGGCTGTGGCAAGATGTTGAGATGTGAAGCCATGAAATAGACCGATTCAAGTATCAATCTTCTTGATCTTTGAGACCCAATTCGCCTTTTGTTGCTTCTTGCACATACAATTGAATTTTGGGTCTGGATTTGAGTCGAAAGTGTGATCGAAATCGAAGGATGTTGGTTGAGAAGAGGGAGATTGGTGGACGTGAACAAAAAAGAAGGGTTGGTTAGACAGAAACTGTTGTACAGAGAAATCATCGCAGAATTTGAATTGAAGGTGAAAGAGGCAGATGAGTGCAGACATTATAATCTGAAACGCCTAGTCTTCTACATTTTTACATTCTCAGAAGTGGAAGACAAGTTTGGAAGAGGAAGAAAAAGTTACCGTTGTGACTAGGTTGCGGGATTTCGTAATTTTTCCGTTAATTAATGGTAACCATTTTTGTCTTGTATCACCACATGTACCTTATAATTAAAAATAAAAATCACATAATTTTAATTTTTTAAATTATAATTAAAAAATACGGTAAAAAATCAATATATTCTAAAATGTGATTTTATAAATTATTTAATCCTTTTTTTTTTGGAAAAAACATCGATAAATCCCAAGTTTAGAGTTTGAACCATTTGGTCCTGATTTATTTTGTAGACTGATTAGTCTCATGTCAATATTAATTACACTTGAGCCCACGAATGTAACGTATGAGTTGACTGTTTAGAGGGGTATATTAGGTGTTTAGGTGATATTGTAGTTACCAAAAAGTCCAAAAGTATACTATAGCACTTTTTTCCTTTTCCTTTTCCTTTTCCTTTTCTTTTCATTGCGAACAAAACGGAAGCTCAAAAATGAGAACATCAGCGTTTCTTTGACGAAGTTGCAGTGTAGATCCTCAGTTTGTGTGAGTTGAATGTTGGATTTGGGAACGTTACACCCAGAATTCGTTATTCATCAAATCACATTACAAAACCCCCCAAAACCCTACAAAATCATG